TTTATTTTTTTTTTGCTGTCTATCAAACCACTTCAGAGATAAAGGTATTTCTGAGGTACGTTGAGACATTGTGCCTACTTTGCGCTGCTCTCCTTACCTCATCACATCTTTGAGCTGCAGCTATTTTTACGGTGCACATTTCATGAGCTGCTGTAGATTATAATGTCTGAATGTTGGTGGGCTGGTCCGATGAAGGAGTCCGACCGCGCGGCAGTCCGTCCTGACCTGATGGCGTTTTCCCTCCTGCAGGTGAACCCAGAGCGGAGGAGGCTGAGGCGACGGGAAACGGTGGAAGTCAGCAGCCACTTCGGAAGCCCCGACCTTCCGCCTCGACAGAAGGAGCGGCCGATGGTTCGTTGTCACACGCTGGACTGTGGGGTCCCAGCTGAGCCCCCAGCCCACTCTGAAACTGACTGAGACCTGCCCTGAGCAGAGACTTGACCTTTCAATTCAAGAACAGGTTTAGAGTTTCATTTGTAAACTCCTTATTCTTGATTAGAGACTAAAACACTGGTTGGCTTCATTCTGTTACCAAACATACTAAAAGGATAAGTTCCTATCATGGTTCCTGTTTTCAGGAAGGTTCTGCACCTGATTGTTCCCTCTGCTGCCGAGTTTTCTTGCTGTCGTCACGTTAGTCACATCACTGCAGACAGTCTTCCAGTCCACACCGTCAGACCCTCAATAAGTTTGACCAAAACCATTTCCACTCTGTCTTTTCTGAACATCCACTGGATCGCCGGCGGTCCCTTGTGTGTATTTACATTAAACACAGCAGCACACTCAAAAACATCACTGGTTAAACTTTTGCCAATATAGACGTTATACATCCTTAGAAAGCTTAGAACCCTTTCCCACTGACCGAAAAACCTATTTAAACCCGGGAACAGTGGACTTTTAGTGGCAGTGGGAACAGATCACTGATGCTGCTACCCGGGTCAAACGACCCGTGTTAAAATCCACTCGGCTCCCGTCCCTGTTGCTCTCCATTAATTTCCTGATTTCTGTTGCCCTGGTGACATCATCAACGTTCATCCATGATGGTGTCATCAGACACGCAGTGGTGGGAGAGTACATCATAGTGGCCACGCAGCCGCCAGCAGAGGGTTAGCATTTCGCTCAATCGGGAAAAGAGCCAAAAGCTGATTGTTAGCGGCTCAACCCTGGTTTTCAGTGTGAAAGCAGCTTTAGATTCTCCACAATCCAACCAACAAGTTCATTTTATATTCACCATGAGCACCAAAGCACAATTGATAATGTATAAATAATGAATTTTAGAAATAAAGCTGGAACTTCCTGCCTTTGAAGCGTTCCTAAGGTTGGATTATAAATCCAATCTTAGATTGTTTATACTCCATTTGTCGGAAAGGGTCTACGGATTAAAAGTATTCCAGCATATTCACAATAAAAACAACCCATGATGAGAAAATCGGCACAAATTACGCCATTTTTTTTCTTTTGTTACTGCTATTCAGAAAATACCTCTTACATTTAAGAAGAAACTTTGAGTAATGCTTTAACTGCTGCGGTTTAGGCTGTGTTTTAGACTCACTATTTTCATTTATATTTTCAGAAAGAAGAAGCTTTCAAATGATATATCACACGTTTAATTTGGGCTTCGAGTTAGTTATTTGCTTTTCCATTTGGGTATGCAAAAAGACGAGGATGACTTAAAATTAGGTGGACGTTAAGAGGTTTTAAACAATATAGATTCAAAAAAGAAAAGACCTCAAATTAGGATGAAAATATTCAAACCTCTGGGATTTATTTCCACATTACTACAGCCAGTTTGTAGGACGTGATTAAATACGTCCTTAAAAACAATTTGGCGCTTTTCAGAGAGCTGCACTGGAAAAACAATCTAGAAATAAGAAGAAAATTCTTAAATTAAGTGTACATCTGCTAAATTTGAGTAGGTAAATGGAATGAACATTTTTACTCTTAAAATAAGATAATTAGGTAATATGCTCTTGAAATAAGACAATGCAATTGTGTTTTCTTATTTTAAATGTAAATTATCTTATTCTATTGGCAAAATGTATTTTTCCTTCTCAATCCAAGAAAAAATGCACTTATTTTAAGAAAGAAATTGCTTCTCTAGATTTTGATTTTTTCAGTGTGTGGTCCCACAGGGAAATGCATAAAGGAATAACTGCTGGATTAGAAAACATGTTGACATTTGCTGCTTAGTGAGGCTAATGACTGTTAGGGTGCTGCTGACCAAATACGCCGATCTGAATTTAAGCAAGGATTTCCCGGGAGGTAGGTCACAGCGGTGGAGATGTTTAAAGAATTAAAGGGAGAATCTGCAAAATTTAAACATGTGATCTATGTTTATTCATCGCTGTATTCTACCGCGATAAGAAAAAAGCTGCAGTATTTAGGGATCACCTTCTGTTTTCTGTCTAAAGTGAAGCTCTGAAGTCAGACTCGGTCAGTAAGAAGTGTTCATCAGCTGCTCGTTCGACGGTTCCCCGTGTAGATCCTCACGTGTAAAGACTTTTTCTCTAAAAGTGTCTTGTCAAAGTACAAGGTGCTTTCCAAGTCTGCTGTTTTTTAAATTCTTTTAATGCACTATTTTTATTTCACGTCCAAGGTTTCAATTGTTGAATGTGCCTTATTTATTTACACCTTAAACATTCAATAAAATACGTTTTGGTGAAACATATTTCATTTCTGCTTTATTTTTTACCTTTAGATACTAGAGGTTCAGTTGTAAAAATTATTGGTGAGTTTGTTTCTAAAATCACTTTGGTTCAGTAAAGTCAAATTTAATTCTATTCAGTTTATTTCTATAGTGCCAATACACAACACTTGTCATCTTAAGGCACTTTACAGAGACAACTTTTCTATCTAGGGAAAACCAGTTGATTGCATCGACTCATTGACTCTTCAGCAATCCCTCACAGTAATGACCAAAGTAGTGACCATCTGTCCGGATGATAATTTCAATTCAATTTAGTTTATTTCT